CCCAAAACTCTACAGGTACCCTTTGCGGTCGCCGGAAGCATTCCCAAATGTTTGTAATTAACATAAGTTACGGGCTGCTGTTTTTGTGTGTACCAACAACAACAACAACAACAACCACGACGACAACGACAACGGCAACGACAACGACAACGACAACGACAACAACAATAACGACAGCGACAACAACAATAACGACAGCAACGACCACAGGCAGCATCTCGACCACGGTCACAACCGTCACAACCACTCCGCCACTGCCAGCAACAACAACAGTAGACAACAGCAACCAAGCTGCATGCTATCTAATCGTTGCTGTTGCAGCAGTTTTCACTGAAGCAGCATTTCGTGCCGTCCATCACCGCGACTCTGCTGCTGATGGTGAAGATGACTATGAATATTATTCCCGCAGCACGAACCTTGATATCAATGCTACTGACTGCTAATGACTTCGAAAACGGCAAGGGATGAACATCGCAGTAGTAGCATCAACGGGATCATGACTTAGTAGCGGGCCACAAAAGCCCTCGCAATGACCATGCTAGAGTTATTATGCCAATGGAATGATCATCATCATCATCATCATCATCATCATCCTCGTCAGCAGTAGCAGCAGCTGCTGCTGCACCTGCACCTGCACCTGCACCTGCACCTGCACCTGCACCTGCACCTGCACCTGCACCTGCACCTGCACCTGCACCAGCACCATCGCCACCATCATCATCAAAGCCCCAAGACACCATCATTGCGATCGCCGTCATCTTCACCATCGAACATCAAACATCATCACAGTCACCATGGCCGAAGGCGTCAACATCGAAATCATCATCACTGATAACTGCATCACCTTCGTCAGACTTCATCGCCGGGATAACTGGCATATTTATGTCTAAGCCATGATCATGCTGATGGACTCACCTCACACTTCCATCCAAGTCATCATTGCGACCACTAACTATCACTACCGACACCACTGCATCACACCCGTATCAGCACCAGCACCCTGGCATCCTCCTCGTCATCATCATGTCAGCGCAGTGCCAGTCCTATGATATGCTTAATGGCAGGAAGTGCTATCGGCCGCGCCTCAGGCCAGCCGTTGTACAAGCGGAGAATCAAGTAAGAAATCTTGGGCCCCTTCTTCACTGCCCTGGGCCAATCTTTGTCTTTCTCCCATGTTCTTCGCTCCTTGTTGCTGATCCGCATGGCCTTTCTCTCTCTCTCTCTCTGTCTCTCTTCTTCCTCAGGGCTTGCGGAGCGTGCCCCTGTGAAAAGTTTGGCGCACGGGTACACAACTCACTCGCTCTCTTTCTTTCGTCAGGGCTATGGGCCAGTCTCTCTGTCTCTCTCTTTCACAAGATGTTTCTTGCTTGCTCCAGAGCAACGGCGCAGGCGCGCCCTCCCCCGTCCGTGGCTGTCCGTCCGGCTCTCTCCCTCTCTCTCTCTCTCTCTCTCTCTTGCTTGCTTGCTGCGCGTCGGCTCACTTGTTCAGAAGTTCTCTCCCGCTCTCTTTCCCTCTGCTCTGTTTGTTCCGTTCTGGGGCGTAGGGGACTGTGGTTTTCGGAGCCGAACATATACCCCTGTTTGAGGGCCTTGGACTCGCAGAGAGTGTAAACAGATATGGATCAAGGGTGTGTCCTCCAGGCTTCTACTGCATCAAGTGTCCGTAAATTATGGCTGGTTCCCTGTACATGACCGAGGTATGTACTTTCTTTCATTCATAGGCTCATAGGGCCTAGGGGCGAGCACCCGCGTGGAGGCACGCCCATCTGTTCGGCTCACGGCTGTTCATGCGGGACCGTGGACTCACTTGACAGGCTCATAATTGCGTCACATTCCCCGAGATATGTAAACACTCTCTCTCTCTCTCTCTCTCTCTCTCTCCTGGATTAATGCGACCCTTCGCGGGAAATCAGCTTCTCTTTGCGGTTCTGCAATGAGTAGGCTTAAAGTTTCGGGCACGATGAGGAGTGATGCTTCACATGACTTGTCGAAAGCTCCAGGAGCATTAGGTCAGCCACGAGGGCTCGGCTGGCCCTCGCATGTCTTCGTGCAAGTTCATGTAGGGTTCTGGATGAAATGCCCGAACCGAATCCCAAGCGAGCAGTGATGTTGGAGTGAGACAGTTGCAAGATGCTGAACACCCGCCACCAGTGAAAACAAATTACGTAGCAGGAAGCCCTTCGAGAAACATTCGATACCCGCGGCATTCAGTCCATGGTGCGTCCAGAAGTCATCGCTGAGACCTTTGCTGAAGGCTCTGTGCGGCCTTCAATGCAGGAAGTGTTTCGAAGGCGAATCGTTGACAAGAGCATAGCCGCTGCCTGCAGAAGAAAGCCGTAGGCTGCGTGGGATAGTCTTGCACCCAGTCCCAGGAATTCGCATCATCGTCCTGTGGGACTTTCACGCAGGGAGACGCAGCGCGGGATGTTTTGACGATGCGGTGTTGCCCTGAGTATAGCTGTGCAGTTCGGTTGCATTCGTTGAAAGGATGGCGCCACCCTGCGGTTGCATCTCCGAAGCGGTCCTCCCCCACCCCCAAATAGCAGCGGCTGGACGTATTGAAGGAAGTCGGGCAGCGCTCCACGCAGATTGGATATCGTATCTCCAGACCTTACATGCCCCTCTTCAGAGAAAGCTCCGTGGAGGTCTTCTGGATCTAGACTCTAGTCCTTTACATGCCACCTTCCCCATCAAACTCTCTTCCCCATCATCTAGGGCCAGGGTTCGGTTGCCCAGATACCATACTTTCTACTCGCTCCTGCTGCATCAGAAGGCACCTTCGAGGGAACCTAATCCAGGCTGCGTGGCTCTTATTCGCTTCGTCGAAGACCCATTGGGACTGGTGCTTCATGCAGAAGTACAGGAATGTCTTGCCCTGCAGCGTCTGGGAAGCAATCGTTCAATGCGACAGTATTTCAAACGATTCTGATCATGATCATGGTGCGTAAGCTGTGATCATTGATAGTTTTCTAACAGTAAGGTTACTATGAATATTTCGTTGTTGCTGCTCTTGTTGTACAGCATGGGCTGCTAGCCTCATGGCGAACCTTACAACCAAATTCCAAACCTTCGTGAGAACCTAGCTGCGACATCATAGCCCCAACATTCTAACCGAGCTTTCGTGGACAGTACGCAGCGAATCAGAATCATAGGCGCAGATCCGGACAAACATGAAATCATACAAGCAACCCTCAAGTCATCCCAGGTCCTTGCAAGCACTTCTACATTGAGAGGTGACAGCAGAACTCCGGAATCCTCACACCGAAGGTGTGCAAAATTGAACCCCCCCGGTCCAAGTCCATCCTAACGCCTGAACCTCTTAGTCTTAAGCCGTAAACCTGAAAATCTATGCGGTTGGGGTGGCGACACGAGCCCTCCCTGCCTTCATTTCCCCTTCTCCGCACATGTCCGATTGGAAGTCTGGCACTCTGAAAATCGATCGAAAGTTGCCCACCTGCCAGCATCTCCAGGGCTCAGACTTTTTCTGTAGCGGGGGTTCTCATCTGCTTGTCTCATGCGCCGATTTCACAGATGCATACATTCGTTGAAACAGGATCAGCTCGGCGAGGGGGGGCTCTGGCTTGCAAAGACCCTCGGAACGAGCCGTGGAAGCCCAAGGCCCCGGAGAATTGGGTTTGCTGCGGCGCCCGGTAGATGCGGAGATACTGATGTTGCAGGTGTAAGTACTTGCTTTCCATGCCCATCAGGCTGCTCCTAGACTGCTAGACATCGCGTATGAGCCAAAATGCTTAGAGTAGAACTTTTGAGTGTGTTATACTGCTCCTACAGCAGGGAACCTTAACTTAAGGAACAGTGCTAGTAACTATTTAGGCCCCCGTATCATGACCTCTCTATGCCCCCCTTTTAGGGCCTTTTCGCAAAGCAGCGAGCAGGTTCTGGCCTGAGCCGCCTCGTAGGTTGCGTATGCAGAAACTCCCAGCAGGACGAGAAACGGAAAAATCCAGACCTCAGCTCTGCCAATAAGTAACAATAACAGTAACAGCAATAGGAATAATGGTAGTAGTGCCAGTCCTACTGTTACTAGTAATGATTGCCATAAGAATACGGAGATATCTTCAGCTTGGAGTTTGGGGCTGAAATTTGAAACGGCGATTCCCATGGCAACAAGAACGATAGCAGTTAGCTGCAATAGCGAAAGCCCTGCTTAACAAGGGAAATGTCAATACATCACAGCACCTTGGGACACCGCAGGCTAGGGAAACCCCACGCGCAATCGTCCGCAGTGAGGCTGTGCAAGAAGTTGACGATAGCGAACGAATGAAGCTAAGTAGAGCACGAACAAATGCATGCACACCTGCAGCATACCTCACATGCATATGCGCACGGATGCCAGCACTCATGTTCATAAACTCCTATTGGCTTTAAATGGACTGTATAGGAGCGAATTGAGAACGTAGTTTCCGAACAAACTTGTAGCATTTTCAACCATAGCGAACTGAGGCTCCAAACCCAAATAGGAACAATGAGAAGCCTTGAAAGCGATCACTGTGCGACTAAGATGACCCTACCAGCCACTAACGGACGTAGCAACCCCAACGGTCGAAGCATTTGCAACACAATCAAACTAGCCCAACGCAGAGGATTGTCAGGTGGTTGAATCTGTGAGAGGTCGGTGTGCCCGATCCCTCATAATTACCACTCCTGCATGGGTTACAGGTTACGGTGTAACCAAAACACAAGCGGTTGAGTGATCAATGTGGCACCATGCAAACTGAAAGGCATCAAAATCTTGCCCAACTCTACAGTAAGCTTTACTCACTCGGTAAACTTTGCAACCCTCGGCCAAGTCTTATCAAGGTATGCTGAAGACTGTGCCATGTTGCAACATCGGTGCATTTGCGTGGCACTGTCAGGGGCTCGCAGCCCTTGTCCTTACGACGATGGGGTGCTTGGGTTCCTTTTCTCGGACTCTGTCTGTCCCATGCCTTCTTTAGACTACAATCGGGGCTGGGGTACAGCATGGGGCGTCCATTTCATTTCGGGAGTTGCTGCAGAACCACCCATTCCTCTGAGGCGGTGGAACACAACCCCTGATCAGAGTGAATCCATGAAACAACATTAGCGTAATGAGTCTTCGCAACATGAAGGCCCTTGGCTTGGGGCTATGGACTAATGCAAACCGTAGTTAAACTTTACAGCCAGGTGATGCTACATTGCTATCTGTCGACAGCTGCTGATTCAGTCCTTGTTAACCTGCCAGGCGCAGCAAGTTCGTTCATGGAAACATTCGCAAACCAAGTCTTTGTCAGCCGCCACGAAAGCTTGGATGATGGATACTACGCCACGCAAACATCCGCGTTCGCCGAGCTACCAGAAGATCTTCTGGATTTGGGGGTGGAGCGGCCGGCAGCAGCTGTGCCTGAAAGAGCAAATCAAATTCAATTGCTGGCAGCATCACCCAGGTTGCATGTCTGTAAAGCACTACCAGGAATGATATTTAGAAACCAAGGCCAGACAGGATGGCGAGCGACCTTCAGAAGAGACCATGCCCTGCAATCCCACTCATCGGGTTGGGACGATGGGTATTACTATAACTTGGTCGAGTTTGGCACATAGGAATTAAGGTTGGGAGGTCAGTTCGCTCATTCCTTACCTGCAAGGCACACAAAATGCAACATGTGCATGGAGGACCGTGCCAGGCAATTTCTCAAGCGGTGTGGATTGATATAGTGACGACAAACTCTGGATGAAGTTCATTATCACCTAAATCGCGACTCGCACAATGCATTCCCCAAAAGTTGACGACAACATGTGGCCTTCTCGCTGTCTCCGTTGATGCTCCGGCTGGAGCTGGATCCATTTGCAGGAGTGCGGCTCAGGCCTGTGTTGCAGTTTCCACGTGGACACATGCACGTAAACGAGAACTGGCTTGACTTAGAAACATCACTCTATGAAGGCCTGTGCTTGTTCGTCGATGTGCGTATACGGAAGCATATTCGTATGTCTTCATGCAGGTGCGCATGTACACGTGTGTGTGTGTGTGTGTGCGTATGTGCAGGTGTACGCATGTACATTTGTATGTATGTATGTATGGAAGACGGGCAATACGGGAGAATACCAACATAGCCGCCGCATAAGAATTCAACTGCATGCCAATATGGATATGCTGTTACCGTACTGGACCAGTACCAAGGCAGGAAAACATGAATGCAGTACGATACTCACGCAACCGAAAGGGACGTAAGAAATGCGTACAGCAGGCAGGTACAAACTACAATATAACAGCAAAATCCCACAGCTGTCTTTCTGGCACGATGTCAAAGCAACAAGAACGTCAAACCTGAGAGTGCTTCGAGAGGGCCGTTGAACAGTTCTTCGCAGTATGTATATGAGTGTCTACACCTTGTAGCAATGTTCGTCACACGTGTACACCGAGCAGCAATGTCTCTAGATTTCGAGCTGATCATGAGGTTCGTTGGAAATGACCAGGCATAGACACCCATATATATATATATATATACAGTTTATAATGGACCAGTGAGACTAGTGGCGAAGCAATGCTTGAACACACGTGTATCAGGATGGTTTCGGGTTTTAGGCAGGGGACCCCCAAAATATGCTTGCTACTCCTACTCCTACTGTATGCGGGTATGCGCGGTCGATGTCAAGAACAGTTACCCCTTGGACCTTAGAGCCTCATGCCCCAATGAAGTGCCTTGATGACAAGAACAAGGTATTATTGGGGTATACTATAACCCTGAACCCTAAACCCGGTATATTGTACTATCAATGTAAGAAACCTATGATTCGCCTCCAGGATCTACGACTGCAAGGGAGCGCTGCGTACTCGGTGGCACCGACAGTGCCATCGAGATGGCTGGGCGGCCGGCTACGGCGATTCATGCCATAAAGGGCGAGAGCCGGGTTTTCAGATGCTGGGCTTGCTTGAAGCCACCCGTTTATAGACACTGATCCTTAGAGCCTTAATCAGTAGCTATCGTCGTGTCCGCGAGGGCTGCAGACCTGCTATGTTTGTAAGGCCCGATGTCGTTTTTGTTTGGATTCAGGTGTAGGGTTCGTGTTTAGGGGGCTGGGTTGGGGGTGCAATGGGGGTGCAAAAGCGTGATTTGCTCTGTTACGGTTCGATCAAGAACGAGCCTGAACCATGCAACACACGATGCTTGGAACCTTTGTGTCTGTGTCCAGTTTAGTTTTCTCTCGCGGTATCGCAGTTGGTCGGTTGGAATTCAGCTTAGGCCCACTTTGAGACCTCTCCCGCTTTCAAAGGCGAGAGGTGTTGGCTCGAGCAGAAAGGAAGCTGCTAAGCGCACGAGCACCCTGAACTGTACGGTCGGCACTGTCAGCGGAACTGTCAGAGTAAGGCTAGTCGCTGTCTGCAAAGGCTCAAGGTCATCGAGCCTGACATCTTGAGATTCCGATGTAGGTTGAACAGCCTACAGGAGCTCACCACTTACGGTTGTTGCTGTATGAAGCTTGCTTTGGTCATGTCCAGGAACACAAAAGGTACCCGATACCACGTCGAAAGCACCCAGACTCCCGGATTCCGCACTCTCCTGGGTCACCCACCGGGGTGGTCGCGCGAAAACGAAAGCTGACGATATTCTCGCACATCTGGGCCGGATTGAAGCCTGCCGTGGAAGTTGGTCTGGAAGGGCGGTTTCTTGGAATCAGGTGTCCTAGATTTGGAACACGAATACTAAGGATCCTACTTTCCACTCTGGTTCGCATTATCTGCCTATATCTTCTGAAACTCCCAAGTCTGGTTTTCGTCCAAGCCGGTGACGGGACTGTCTTGACAAGGGCTGGTTGTTTTCATCTAGGGCGCCGACGGCATGGGATGGTGCCCAGCAGGTCGTTCAACAGGCGCAACACATACCTTGCAGAATGTGCAGCAACAGGAGAAATGAAGGAGAGTGAGTGTCGTGCAGGGTGGGAATATCGACCGTACGTGCCTTTTGTTGCGAGTCTGGTCTGTCGCAGAGCAGTGCCACAATTTGAAGAATTTCCAAGAATGACGAGATCTCCCGTGACACAACACCACAATGCTTGGAGGGCGCTTTTCGGCAGCCCTTCCCAGACAAGCTGCCACCAAGCCGATGTCACACGCGCGCACAAGTGTATATATATATATATAT